AAAGCAAATTGGACCAAATAAATTGACAGCAAACATTCTAACTCGTTTGATCTCTAGTTTTTGATACAGTATTATTGCTTCAAGGGACCTTGAAAAGCTTTGTGGTTAAGAAAGTCGTCTTTGAGATCATACTATTCAAAAATAACAAACGAAATTATTGCGGTGTGACGTTGGAAAGATCTTTGAAGAAAAGCAGTTTTCCGTTGTCGGGTATTTTCCTATTTACGCTTCGATGAGAAACTTTAAACGCGGTTAGACAGACGACGATAATTCAAATACATTTTGCGAAGAGACCACGGGCGAACTCTTGTACAGGTTGAACTTTCAGACTGATGATTTATATTGGCGACCCGAGCTTGGTATAATTAAATATTCCCCAACTAAGCCAGGTTTTAAAATGAATTAAATTTGGAGTTGAAAAACGACATTCTTACATATTTTATTCATCGAGAGCGTTAATCTCTTTTACAAATGAATCCTTTTGAGACCTCACAGTAAGTTTAAGCCCAATAAAAATCGCAACAAGGTCGAAGGCGACATTCCGCAACGTCGCCTGAGGACGAGAATAATGACGTCACAAACCAGAATGCCCACAAAGCAAACACACAAAATCGTTCATATTCGCGATTAAATGTTCGGTTGTTAACGACATGCCAAACAGATATCTAATATTGTATTTGATGGATGAAATAAGGGAAAATAAGTACAGCCAAGCGTACACCACAGAAAACAGTAATTGTGATGCTGGATCATACATTTTTAATATGATTTATATAAAATCAAAAATCTAACTCTCATCAATGATTAACTATGACTAAAACAGTTCGGAATCGGAGACGGTATAAAAGTCGATTTCAAGATTTCGGCACCTTAGTTATATGATCGCCAATCCGAATTCGACAAATATCCCGGAATATATTTATTTAGCGAGGGAGAAGCGCAAATTACTTCATCTACAACTCAGCATATCACATTTGAAATTTTATCATAAACCTATTTGAAAAATCCACCTAATACAGCATCAGCGCAGAATGCAAATTTGTGTAACATACAGAAACATTACGAAAGATTTGGCAGTTAGCACATAAACCGCACACTCATTATGAAAATAAATACAATTATTATGTCACAATCTATAAAAATAAAACGAACATTCTGATAATGAGAAAGTAATTTGTCATCTAATGAATCGTGACCTACCTCCATGATCGTCTATAATCACGTGGACGTGAAATTAGGCCGCTAGAAAATCTGTTTATATATTTACATTATGAAAATTAGTCAATTTTCGGCAATGACTTTCATCTTACAACAATTATTGAAAATACATAAGAAGCTAACCAAGTATAGTCTACGGATAAGCATCCCTATCCCATCGATTTTATAATAAGAGCCCCACAATTGGCGCATTCTTTCAAACTCTCGTAATGGCGATTCCTCCGAACGAAGGTGTGCGCGTCTTCCACTTATGACGCAATCACTATGACAACGACGTCCACTGCTTGGTTACGCAAAATCACATGATACAATTATAACCTGACTCGTTACGTGGAAATATATAAATAGAAAAGATATTAATAGGTCCTGATGATGACGGATAATTAAGTCGACGTAGACTAAATATAGCCGTTTCTCCATATATTTTGCTTACTGCAGATTAACGCATATTAAACTTAGCTTGAAATGGAAGAACTGAACCAAACGTTCAAATGAATCTACTCCGAAACTGTAGTCGAAAACTTTTTCGTTTATATCAGGACAACAAATTTTGAAATATGTTGTCAACCTGAATATGAGTATTTGAATAAAATTAAACTAATCAAAATTTCATAAAAATTCGCCTAAATAAATATCCACAGGCAATTAAGACAGTTTTAAAAACAACTGTAATAAGTCTTCAAATATTCAAATACGAAATTCCGAATATATTATGAATATCCCCGAATGTGAAAATCAAAGTGCCGCTGTTAAAATCAGGTAGTTCACGAAGTTGTTCGTTTCACAGACCGCAATCGTGAACATTTCAATGAACTATCACGGTTAAACGCATGTGGGAGATTCCACTCTATTTTTGCGTAAACCGCCAAATTTTTGATATTTATTATTCAGGTATTATATAGTTCACAAAATTAAGTTCCAATTCCTGAGTCAGGTTTCATTATTGCGTCATTATCATAAGTTAATTTGTCAGGTATGTTTTCACTTTCATTTAAACACATAAAGAAGTTCATATCTTTACAATATAAAAGACTAGAATCTAACTTAAAACTAACTGAGTAAATTAGGGCATATGATAATTCAGAAAGTCGAAATTATCAGTATGCAGTGGAATTTAAGTATTTATTATAAGCTGTCTTTTTTTTAAATCCATTCGAATATAAGGAAATACGAACAAGATCAATCCGAGAAGACCGATCATTCCTAAATAAAAATAATGGCACACAAAAATAGGAGCAATATTTTCAGTGCGAGTGGACGTAATGATTTACTCTTCACGCATATCTATACTTCATTATATAATAACCTGTAAATAATTAGACTATTACTTCAAACAGATTGCAATATTCAATCCTGTACTAGGACGTCTTCTACGTGCGACAACATTTTGATCACGCCACTGAGAATCTGCTCCAATCCAGCTTGCGTTATTCAAACTAGACTACAGTAACAAATAGAGAAAAACTTGCGCAATACGAAAAACCGCATTCTTAAGTACATATATTGGTATTTAAACAGTCGAAAAATGACAATTGCACCAGGATACAAATCAACAGTACTTAACGGTTGGTGTGAGAGTCGAGGTATTTTCTAACGACCAAATGTGGAGAAAGAAACATCCTACGTAGCTTCGGTATGTCGAGAACCCTTGAGAACAGCCGACATCGGTAAATTGGGGCCACGCGTCTGATGTTATGAATCGCTATGGTGATTTATTGTCGTTACGCCAAAAATGAGCCCCTGGTTACGTGAGATAAAACGCGCAAATTTACGCCACTTGCTACACGACGTAGGTAGGTGAATAGCATAACAAAACACCCCGTATCGTACATAATTAGTCTCCGTGCGTTATCAATAGGCCAGGCTAACCAATTGTGTTTATACCTCGCCAGTAAATTTCCTAAATGGAAAGGTGAAAAAAAAATGGTGGCTTCAGAAATATCAATCTAGTTACAGAAACGCATAAAGCAATTTAAATACTCCTATATTGATGCCAGCTTCCATATTGATTACACCCTTGGAGGTCCTTGAATATAAAAAAGGTGGGACAAGCACTCAAAATACATAAGCACGAATTTACATTACATTGGCACGAACACAGATCGGGCAAACAAGTCGACGACTATTTTATGTTCCGCACCAAACCGATAACACGTGTTTCTTACTCTTCGCGTTGGTATATGTCGTAGATAAAACGAAAAATACTTGACACATCGCCCTAATACAGGGATAATAAATTGTTCGAGCCACCGCAGAGAAATTCCATTTTTGCAACAAAAAGGACTGTGATTACGATTGGCCGATGATAATTTTAATTGGAGTTCTTTCAAGTAGATACTTAATAAATTTCGCGTGAATTCGCAGTATTATGATTAAGTATGAAATATTAACCGCAGCAAAGTCCACAGAGAATTTGAAAATGTAAAGGTAACATTCCAAACATGTTTTGGCAAAATATAACTTAGATACACATGCTTCTCCTGTTCGTGTGAATCTCCCATGGTGTCTGATAATTTCTCACTGATATTAAATATACCCAGATATATATAACGAAAATTCATTTTAAATAAGATTAATTCCAAACCCAGTATAAAATGTTGACACCTGCTGTCGATGAATTACTACAAAATTGTCTCGAAATAAGGTGAATTAAAAATATTGATCAATTTATTATATACCCGGAGCTGACGATAAAAAGTGAAACCAAAATAGGACAACCAGAACATAACAAATGAATGATTGAATATACTTAACATCAGTTAAAGCAGATGATTTGATTGAAAAGTCGAATACTTGCTGCTACGGTGCTACAAATTTGAAGCAATCCCAAGTTATCTGAAATCTTACGTTTAAACATGGACTATATTTCAACTCGGAAGTACCGATTCTACCTGAATGACTTTTCATATACAGTACCATAAAACAACAACTATTTGCGACCTTGCTTCCAGTGTAAGATATCAGAACAAACTCTCATATCTTGTCTAAACTTAAAGTTTCAACAAACGATACCATCTGCACGAACTGCGCGATAAGTTTTGAGTGATATGAAAGTATAACCATTTACAAAAATGACCCCTATATCCATATAACATCAAAATACACTATTCCCAAACAATGACAAAATGGACAAGGGGCTATTGCAAACTAGACAGTATCAAGCTCGAACAATGGACTGATAATAAAACTTTAAATCTCATCATGCATGATTGAAAATTGTTTTTTTCGTTCCAATAAAGTGGACGAAGAAACACTCAATCAAATCATAAATAAATATTTGACTTGATATCCATCTATTCTCGTTCCTAACTCAATCAGTGGAATCGATTTTTACGACAAAAAAGTACCCCGTGCTTGGCTGGTGGATGAAATGAGAGAGTCAGTTTGTGGGTGACCATTGAAATGAAATTGAATGTTCAATAAATACACGCGATTTCATGAATTGTACCCAAGTGACAGATAAGAATAAATAATGACTCAAATTTTAATTGAAAAATGTAAATATTTTTGAACGCGGGGAAATTGAAAAAAGGCGTCAATGAGATTTAATGGAAAGAGCCTCTTTTGAAAACAATTTCTAGTTTGAAAACATGTCGAAAACACAAAAAAAATACGAATTGAATATCGGATACTATGTTTTAGTTTGCGATAGCCTATTCAATTTAGTACAAATGACTTAAGATGTTCGTCAATAAACGCGATACGAAGAACTTATAGACATCCATCCACTTGCTCGGATTCAGTAGTGTGGCATGTAACTGGAAAACAATACTTAGTGATTCTCCTTAAAACGATAGATTCCTGATATAGAAAGAAATGAGAAATTTTTATAACAGATACTGTATATTCAATGGAGAATACTGAAGGCAAACGACGTCATTCCATGTGAAAAACGAACAAGCCCAAATTGTACGTAAATGTACCTACGCCCTTGAGTAAATTTTACAACATGCTTTGGGAGTATTTAAATTATTTGTTGGCGGGGCAGAGACCTTAACTTTTTATTGGATAACTATCAAATTATATGCCAAAACAGGACTATACGAGTAAATACATACGATATCCAATGTTTTCATTCGAATTTGAAATGTGGGATGGTCTTGCGCCAAACGCGGTTACGTGTTTAAACAAATGCTGCGTACAGCATGTGGTCATGCACAATAAAAGTTTTGCGTACAACGTATACGCCCATTAGCAAATATTGTCATCAAAACGAAAACGCCTATAAGGCTATTCGTCGCAATATGAGTTCGGATGTTTTTACATTTAGTCGCCTGGACAGAACCAACAACGGACATCGCATAGTTCAAATTTCGATAAAAAATCACTTACTTAGTATCACATACTAATTTGACCATGGAAGAAATAGAGCCCATAAAGTTGAAAGAACATGAGATTCGGGTATCTGTGCTATTCCATTACTAAGATTAGATAGCATTCATTGTGATATGCTAACTCAATGTGTTAACAGTCAGGAATATTGAAGAATATATGTTTTCAATATCCATTTAAATGGCCGTGTCCGTAGAGGGCTGTTGACCTCAAGTCGACTCTCCATCATCTCAGTAAGAATCGACGAGATAAAAACTACGAAATTGCAGTAAATTTGATGTGAATTGCTAACAATTTGATGGATTCACGACAATCAAAACTGTGAAACCGCGCTATATTAACAAGCACACACTTCACAGGGATAGGAATGTCTTTCTCAGGATTGGTCTGCCAAATATCAAAAGTATCGACCATCTTATAGCTTGATAATACCGGGCAAATCCGGGGGCAAAGCCCACAAGCGACGTTCCAGGTGCTCTTGAAATGGCATTTGCGTCATTAGCACTTCGAAATGTTGGTTTTGCCGACAGTAACGAACAAGAAAAGATGGATTAATATTCATCCACATTAAATAGAAAGTTTAACATGCGACGATTTAATGTCAGAAGTACATGGAAGTTTGAATTAGATATTCACGTGAACATAAGCATGGGCTAAATACGCTAGTTTCAAACCGCATCTGGAATATGGGATGTGAAAATTCTAGAGAACATCACACTTATTCACACCTAACTGCAGATATGTCAAGCGCCTTTCATGGAATTCAACTTTATACAGCCAGGCTTATCATCATTATATAAGCCATTTTGGAACAAATACCAAAAGAAAAGAAAACTAGTTTACCGCTAAATATAACCGTTAAAAGGGGTTGATCAGTGAATGGACTTTAATTCCAAAACATCGCAGGCGGTGAAGTACAAAGACATTTCATAAATGCCACATTAAATATTAATTCATAATTTTCAAGCTATATTAGCGGATTAAGCTAGTACTGGCACACATGTATCTAATAACCTTTATAGGCTTATTAAACAAAGTAAATATCAATTATAAATAATACACTTGACGCATGTTTTACGTAAAATGCCACGACGCAAATCGCGCGACAGCGAGTGTGCGTCAAATGCGGATTCCAAGAAAGACAATTGTATAACGTAACTCGGCTTCTTCGAAACAGCAACAAATAAACTACCGTAGAGTTCAATGCCTCGACAATGCAAACTAAATGACTACCTATTCGGAACTTGACGGATAAAAGTGAATATATCAAATTTAGGACTCAAAACAAATTTCTGAGCATCATATTTCCATTCCACATGGGTTGGCACCAATTAAGAAAGAAAGTTCTACTCAAAGCAGAACACGTTTTTCTAATACACAACATACTATAAAACCGGTTCAAACTGTATTAAACTAGTTTTGCTGCATAAAAGATTTTCCCATAAAATGGATGCATGGTATTAAAATTCAACAATATATAAATAATATTAATAACAAAGCATTCCTGAAAGGATTCGACAAGGAGACAACGAAATCCTTACCGATGACAACATGGCTTCAATGAAGACGTTTCTCACAAACATGCAAAGTTAGACAAACATGCGGGTAAGCAATTTCGATCAAGCGAATCAACATTACATTACAGTATTGGAATTTCTGGAAAGTATCAGAAATCGAGGTCATTTATTTTCTCCTAGGCCGTTCAGAATTTGATAATAGGTTTAGGGACCGCCGTTTCGATTATAGGCCTAAGATAAACCGCATCTCCACGGTGCGTATCGGTGTCGTATGATCGGAAGATACGAGTTAAAGTCCTAACGTAACGGAAATCCCAGTGGATCTAATTTCAATAACCAAACGATTGAAAACCAAGCGTGACGACAGTAAAGTTACAAGAAAAAACATTTTTTAGACATAGGGTAATTTGGTGATCCGTCCATTGAGGAAGTTTTACATTAAGCGTATCTTATGAGAAGGTACAGAAATAGAAACAAAAAAAAAACGCAAAGTGATTCCCAAAACACAAGTTAGGAACAAATTGGATGTGAATGAGAAAAGATGATATATTTTAATGATTTTACTCATACTGTGAACATAGCTTTGAATAAAAGTTCTGTAAGTTGCAACTAGGGCTGGGCATTTCGAATTGAATCGAATAGTTGAATATTCGAATTGGTTTAAACTAAAATTTCGAATCGCCGCCATCTTGTTTTTTGTCGATCCCTCTATTTGTTTTTTGAAGCCATATTTTTAAAATGCAATTCTGACATCGGTGACATGTGACTCTTTTCTTCCTAGTGAGTTATTGATGAACCATGTTTCTTATTGTATGTGACCACTAAGCGAACTGTCTGAGTGATAGATTATATGTTTTTAGTAATTTATGTGACTGGAAGACCCATTACAATAAAAAATAAATAAATATAAAACTACATATCTTCCAAGTATTCGAGATTCGATGCGAAAAAATTATTCGATTCGATTCTGAAATCATCAAGTATTCGAAAATGTCCAGCTCTTGTTGTAACACACTTGAGTAACAGAGAGAACCATACACAGGTTTCCAATGACCGTGGGATCGTCTATTTACGCTGCCTTAATACACTCCAGATTCTATGATTTCGCTCGTGGCAAACACGGATGTTGTCAACTGGAACATAATATCACACTTTTCATCGAATATTGCGGAATCGAGCGTGATGCATACATAAATATTTTTACTTGATAATGAGGTACCACCAGTTGAGTGTTATTTTGCAGGTTTAACATTCCATTCTTTTGTTCTCGAAGCCTAAATTTGGATCAGCGTGGAGCCTGCAACTGCGACATTCCCACGGTGCCACCGACCTCTTTTTACCACTAATTCGTAGATCACGGTGACAACAAATAGCTCGGTTTTCAAATACACTTCGATTTGATTAACTTAGATTAAAAATAAACTAAATTTACCGATAGAAGATAGAACTATTTGAAAATGACAACAATGCCACCATCCCCCTGAGTGTATTCTAGATTTAAACCCCGCGAAGCAGGAATTCGTGATCATCTTTGTGCGGTAGCCCGCCGGTAGGGCTTGAAAGATGATGGAATTAATTTACAGGATTTACAATGGTCAAATGAAGGAAATCGAGAAAAATTCATTCCATGCATTGTTTAGGAATTTCATTCCCGTCGAGAATTGACACTGGAGCTTGCGAGAAATTATAGAAATATGACACGAGCACCAATGCTTACCATACGGTGAATATGAAATGAGTTGAAGTAAAGGTATCGAGATAAGTGCAAAATAATGGCACAATTATTCGAACCAGCCATCTGCAGAAATGTTCAACTCCTGTCGCGTGCGAGGCGTGACTTGTGTTTACCACTTGTCGATGTATACGATGCAGGTAGAATTACGATTTCGCCTTACGGAAAGTTGTTTTCTACACGGGATAAAATAATTAGCGGTACGCACCATTAGCATTGCATTGTTAAGTGTTTTTGCACCTGTGACCGATCTTCTGTGTAATTTCAAATCAGACCAATGGCTCAGGGCGTTAGAAGTTTTGAATTTTTGAAGAAAAGCATTTGAAAAATAACAGGTAAATTAACAGTCATCAGTACGTATGGTTTACCTATTTATAGTGTAATTTTTTATGGGGCAAATTGAAATAACTGGTCGAGGTAGCATAGTTGGCATAGGTTGGTTAGTCAACTCGGCGAAAAAAAGATTGAAATTGACAAGTATTTATTCCTATTTACGAATTGCTTTTAGGAGGTTGCAAAATTGTCCACTGGATGAGGCAAATTTGTAATATTTATTGACTGAAAACCTGTGAACGGGCTTAGTACATTACGAAATACCCGGAATATATTTCTACATCACATCCAAATAAATCATATTTACGAATTGCTTTTAGGAGGTTGCAAAATTGTCCACTGGATGAGGCAAATTTGTAATATTTATTGACTGAAAACCTGTGAACGGGCTTAGTACATTACGAAATACCCGGAATATATTTCTACATCACATCCAAATAAATCATATTTACGAATTGCTTTTAGGAGGTTGCAAAATTGTCCACTGGATGAGGCAAATTTGTAATATTTATTGACTGAAAAGCTGTGAACGGGCTTAGTACATTACGAAATACCCGGAATATATTTCTACATCACATCCAAATAAAAATTCCTAATCGTTTGTTCCATTGGCTAATTAACACTTACTATTTGCTCTCACACACCTCATTTGGTGAATTAGCTATTGTAAAACATCGATTTGTTAAATATAATAATTTTACGAACAAAATTATTCCTTGTGTAAATATTTAAATAACAATGTCAACGATATAACGAAAGAAAATCCAACATTTACTGCACTAACATCGTGTTTCCTCCACGTCACGAAACCTCGTAAATTAGCCAAAGCACGTAATCAAATGGACAAAACTGCGACAATCTAACAATTTCTAGTGTAAAATCGTTGG